TATTTGTTTTGTCATTTTATTTTGAAAAAAATAAAAAGCCCAAAAAGAACAAATACACGAATTTTGTTTGAATGAAAGAAAATGTATTTACAATTTATTGAGCCAGACCACTCAACAACTTCTTTACAGTTTGCTGTGGGAATTTTAACATGATATTTCTTAAGTAAAAGTACTAAAGTAAAATATAGCAATAAACACTTTTGCATTGTAGTTTTTTTTCTTGGACATTGTCACATTATACGTCTGTGTATTTCAACCCACTCCTTGCCTGCGTGCAGTCCTCCTGAAGGTGTACTGCAGTGATCACACCTACACGACAATCAGGATTGCAGTGGCAGCAACCGGGAGGGAAGTGATCGCTGCTGTGGGCGACAAACTTGGCACCACTAACGAGCTCCTGCTGGTCCACCTCAGCTCTGCTGCTGGTAAGAACACTGAAGTACCAGGAGAAGTCAGCGTGGCCTTCATGTTGGCACCGGTGCTCATTAAAGCTCCCACTTTCCTCATTTCTCCCACAGAAAAACAAATCTTGAAGCCTAACGATGTATCGGTGTTTTCCACGTTAAGCATCAATGGGAGATTGTTCACCTGTCCTCGAGACCAGCTCAATAATGTGGTAAGAGGCAGGTGTTCTCAATGTGAAGCTAAATGTTATTCTTGATTAACGTGTAGCACAAATAATTTATTGTACTGAAATCAACAAATACTGCCTTTAGCTGTGTAAAAAAAAAGAATGAATCTGATGTATTCAGGTGTCTTAATTTGAAGTTTTCAACCCTTTTCCTGTGCGTGTAACTGTGCCCAATCTGTGTGTTTTAGACTCCTCTTCCAGATCAGGAGGGCCCCTCTGCAGGCTCCATGTCAACGTTTGAGCTGATGAGCTCCAAAGACCTGGCTTATCAGATGACCATGTTTGACTGGGAGCTCTTCAGCTGTGTGCACGAGGTACTGTGGTTTAATGGCAAACGGCTTGTTGGTTAGTCTTCGAAAACCCTTCAGAGAGAGACTTAGATTGACCCATGGCGGCAGAGTCTCACCCTGTTTGTTTCCTCCTCTCCGTCTTCACAGCACGAGCTGCTCTACCACACGTTCGGCCGCCAGAGCTTCAAAAGAACCACGGCTAACCTGGACCTGTTCCTGAGGAGGTTCAACCAGGTCCAGCTGTGGGTGGTTACTGAAGTCTGCCTCTGCACTCAGCTCAGCAAGAGAGTGCAGCTCCTCAAGAAGTTCATCAAGATAGCGGCACAGTGAGCAGGATCCGCTTTATTCCAAATAATGTCTTCATTTACAAATAGGTCATAATTCATGTATTCATTTCTTTTTTAAATTTTCTCATGTGTAGCTGTAGAGAATTTAAAAACCTCAACTCATTCTTCGCCATCATTATGGGGATGAGCAACCCTGCTGTCAGCAGACTGAGCCAAACCTGGGAGGTAAACTACAAATTCATCTACACTGAGCTTTATCTGTAAAAAAAAAACTCTCAATGAACACTTATCATCACTGAGATTATTTGTCTGTATTTAACTGGCAGAAACTCCCCACCAAGTTTAAGAAGTTTTACGCCGAATTTGAGAGCATGATGGTGAGTTTGACCTTTGTAAAGGACAATCCAAATTTTAAACCTAATTTGAGATTTACTAACACGTTTGGTGGTAGGACCCATCAAGAAACCACCGGTCTTATCGACTTACTGTAACCAAGCTGGAGCCGCCAATCATCCCCTTCATGCCTCTCCTTCTCAAAGGTAGGTTTCAGTTCTAGCCCGGAGCAGAAATATGTCAGCCTATGGTATCTGTGATGAGAGCACAGCAGCACTGAAACAGGTGACATGCTGAATGACAAGCCAGCTTCACTTATCAAATATGTTACATTTTAAGCACTGCTGCTCTTCATGTCGAAGCAAGGTCTTTTAAGGAAAATAATGGGGATTTTATTTTTTGCAGATATGACTTTTACACATGAGGGCAACAAGACTTTCATTGACAACATGGTCAATTTTGAGAAAATGGTAAGTGTCTTTTTGTGGAGTGCTCTTTAAACAACCTGTCTTCCTTAATTCGAGATGTGTGGTTGGGTTCTTCTTTGTTGAAACGTTTCGTCTTCGTTCTAAGGAGTTGCAGGTAAGCGCAGCGTTATAAGCAGAACCAATGCATAGAGGATCAACAAGTTTACCAATGACAACTGAAAATAAAGAGGACCATCAGCCTAACAAGCGATCATTAAGGCTCTGATGGCCACTTGTTGCTCACAGGGCTGAGTCGCACTCGCAGTAGCAGCTTTGTGGGCCAATTGGACTTGAAGACCTCCACTGGGTGGTTTATCTTCGCAAAGATAGCTTCCTGTAATTCTCTTTCAAAGCAACGTTTCAACGAAAAAGGGTAACCCTTACTTTTACAGTCCCCTAATTACCATGCAATTACCTATCATTTGTATGGCAAGTAATATCATTTTACTATACAATTACTTGATAATTACAGTAACTTACCATGTAATTACTTGGTAAGAACATATTAAAAATACTGTGTAATTAAACTAATTTTAGTGGGCAATTCTATTACAATTACAGTTCAGTAGTATCTCAGTTACCCACTATTTGCCAAAAAGTTACCAACTTTATTTTTACAGTCACCTAATTACTATGTTATTATAAACAAAATTACTGTGCAAATAAACAAATTTAGTGATCTTAATAGTACATCAATTACCCAGCATTTACCAATAAACTACCAACTAAATTTCCACATAATATATATTTATACATATATATAGTCCCTAATTACCATGTCATTACCAGTAAACTACTATGTTAGCAAAACTGCTTTTATTTGGTAACTACAATCAAATTACTGCTCAGTAGTACCTCTATTATATATTATTAACCTAAAGAATACAAACACATAGAAACATATGTTCTTACCATTTAATTACACGGTAAATTATTGTAATTACCAAGTAATTGCATAGTAATGTGTTGTTACTTAGCATGTAAATACTAGGTAATTGCATGGTAATTAGTGGACTTTAAGCGAAAGGGTTACCCGAAAAAGAACCCATCCAGACAGATTGTTTTTAGATTTTACTACCTGGATTATTAAGATGCATCAGGATACTGTATCTAAAAATATATTTTTTCCCTTCAGCGCATTATAGCAAACACAATTCGACAAGTGAGGCACTGTAGAAGCCAACCATTCAGTAAGTCCACACGTCATTCATCAGTTTTCTTCAACACGTTTTACATGCGGTTATTACAAACATGTTTTCTTGCTCTGCTAGATCCAGACATTTGCCAGCCAAATAAGAATCAGGCGGAGGTGCGAGGTTACGTTAGGAAGCTCTGCGTGATTGACAACCAGAGGGCGCTGACGCAGCTCTCCTACAGGCTGGAGCCTCGGCGAACATGAGCTCCACCTCTTCCACCACCATCGCCTTCTCTGTGACGTTAGCATTTAAAAACAAAACACACACACACACATTACCTGTTTTAATCAAGTCAAAACAAAAGGGATATTTAGTAGCAAATCCCAGCAGTGACTTTATCTCTAACGTGGACTCTCATGGGTCAAGGACTTCTACTGTGCCGTTAAACGCCTCTTCCCGCTGGACAGACTGAAACTGTTCAGCTGCTCTCTCATCGCTGTGTCTCAGCTCCTGGACTGATGGGTCATATTGTTCCAGTTGTTACTGTTTGAGACTTGTTAGATAGATCTATAATGTATAGAACGTGGATCAATATCCTGCATGACTGAGTTCCAGTGATCCATAGGCTTTGTGTTCTATACAGTGGATTTCTATCAGAGAGTCCTGTACTGTTGTGTTAACCCGAAAAGAGTCCTAGTTTACAATAAATGGCTTTAACCTGCCTGTCGAACAAACCTGACTATCCTATTCATGGGAAAACCTGTAAGGTGTAACGTCAGAAGCTCCTTTTCCATGCCACAGAAATCTGAGAGTTTGTATTTGCTTCATAATCCAAATTATTCTAATCAAAGTTTTTGAAGTATTTAGGATTTCCTGCAACAGAATCAGTATTTCTTAACTAGTCAGACAATGCAAAACTAAATAACCACTTATTAGAATAAATAAAGTCCTTATGGTATTACAAAACATGTTTCAAAGGATCCCCCGCAGTATTACCCGTTTCTGTTGTTGTGCAGCTATAACCGTAAATCCTTCAGACTGATGGCAATGCTCGATTTGATCTATTCTGAGATCAGCTGGACGACAACGTTGCATCGTTTCATTGGGACTGATTTGTAGATTTAGAGTCTGAGGACAACGTCGATGTTTGAGGCCAACCCCTCGTCACATTCGGTCCGTGCGATTTTATTTTTGTGTGTGTACAATTTCGAGTGTGTGTTGTTCATTTTCCTTTTGATCTCAGGAGTTTTTGCTGTGATGGTGTGCGAGGCTGGCTTTCCCCCGAAGCTGCCTGTGAATTGTGTTTTATGTGTAGTCTGCCTTGTAAATAAAAAATAGCTAATTTATCAGCAATAATGCTTTAATGAGTTTTTTTTTTTCAGACTGATTTTGAGGATAATGTGGTGGTTTGTAGCGTCTCACACACACAAAAAAATTGCACCATTCTGTAGAGCACTTCATTTAGGATAAATATTTATAAAGACAGGCAGAGCTGTTTGTTGGAAAACCTTTTTCACTGTAAAAGCTAACAGTTACAGGAGTGGGTCTGAATGAGTTCGTTCGGAGAGCGCTACTTTAGAAATGCAGCTGCAAGGAGAAATTGACAGTTGCCTTTTGGCCAGGTGTTATCTTTCACCCAGCACACAAAATGTCTAGCTGACAAAACAAAATGAAATTCAGTGTCGTAGACAATCATGACGTTACTTTTATATAGTGTATCACCATCAAAATCAGTTTAAAATTTGCAGCTTTATTCCTCTTCCAAACTAAGATTTGAAGCTGTTTATCTGCAAGCAGTTTGTAAACCAGCCTAAGCTGAATTTTACAAGATTTGATAAGGAGGAGATAAGGAGCATGGGTAAAATGCAGGAGCAGAAAAATGTCGCCACTTATTTGGATCACTTTGTTTAAAACGGCGAAATAAACCCCCTGGTTTGGTGAGGGGCTGCAATTTAAGACCCCTTCTGGTGTTTCTGTTTGGCTGCAAAGTCTTGGTGTGCGTGTGATTCCCACAGCTGTTCTCACCTGTCCCCATGCACTGACGTCATTCTGGCTATCCTGATGATGATGATGTCAGGGTTTCCTGTCTGGCTGAGTAAGACCATCGTGAGTTTATGCTTTTAGCAGCAGCGTGTCTGAGTGATGGAGGGAAGTGTCTGTGGCAGTCTAGTTTCTAATACGTCAAGCACACTATAGGGTCGAGCTGTGAGTGTGTGCGTGTGTGCGTGTGTGTGTGTGTGTGTGTGTGTGTGTGTGTGTGNGTGTGTGTGTGTGTGTGTGTGTGTGTGTGTGTGTGTGTGTGGAGAGCTTTATATAGCCACACTTATCCAGGAAGGAGGATTGCCCTGCGTGCCGTTGACCATATTTGAACAGTGCGTCTGCTGAAGGCGGTCTGCACACACTGAACTCAATCTTAAACATCTCTCCTTCATTTCTAAGCTTGTGTGTGTGTGTGTGTGTGTGTGTGTGTGTGTGCGTGCGTGCGTGTGCGCGCGCACTGTTAGCATTGTAGTTGCACTGAGTTACCACTACCAGGCAATGTAGCACTTAGTCTGACAGCCGACTGGTCCCGACTCACAGAGAAAACCTCTCTCTCTTTTTTCCCAGCACTTTCTGGTTTCTTCTTTCTGACAGTCTGTTCAGCTGACTGACAACATCCACTCTCTTCAAGCCCTGTGGAGGAAACTACTCTGCTTTACTTCCTTTCTAATCTCTAAACTCTGTGCTGATCCTCCGCTAGGATCCATTTGTAGGCAGTGGTTGTGAGTGGAAGGTTAACTCCTTTTTGTTTTAGTTTTTTTTAGTGTTGCGTGTGTCCATGTGTGTGTTCGAGCGTGTGTGAGTCAGTATGCCATGTCGTCCCCTGGCTCGTCGTTTGTACAGATAAAGCATGACGACTTGCTTTTCTACGAGAACTGTGGAGGAGGCAGCTTTGGGAGTGTCTACAGAGCTCTGTGGATATCCCAAGACAAGGAGGTGGCTGTGAAGAAACTTCTGAAGATCGACAAAGAGGTAAAGAAGGAAACCAAACAAATCAAATTTTTATATGGATTTTTATTCATTTTGGCGCGGTACGACTCTGGAATTCAGCGTCCGTTTTCACTGGATTTTACTGATTATTTTTTATCTAGGCCTCCCTGTTGTCTGCTATTGAAAGTGTGTTTATCTTAAACATACCTCATCTTGTCCCCCTCCCAACTCATTCTTTGTAGATGGAGCAGGTTTATTTATGTTTGACTCACCCTATTATCCTCCCATTGTACGTTAGGGTGAGGTGTTCATTTGAGGCCTTCAGTGTCACCCAGACTGTGACTTMAACATGATTTACTTTAGATGTGGCACATTAAATAAGTCTTGTGGGAGTATAAAGTTTTACATTACTGCCAAAGATGCAGACTTGATAAGACGTATACATAGTAAGGTGATCTCTTACATTACAGGCTAATAAAAAGTGATGTCATGCACACGGGCTAGCTAACTGAAGCCACACAGGGAAGGGATTTTAATTTGTGGTTTGACTACTTTCACTCCTGATTTCTCACTGTGGAACACAAATATAAACACAATTACACCCCAAAAGTTGAGATATATTGTAAAATGTAAGTAAGAACTGAACACAATGATTTTCAAATCTCAAAATATTTTATTCACAATGAAATATAAGTCTATCATAATTGAAACTAAGAAATTGAAAAATTAGCAACATTTTGAATTTTATGGCAGCAAACCATTTAAAAAAAAGCTGAGACAGCTCCATGAATCATTCCCTCTTGATCTAAGTCTATAAACATCCAGGAACTGAGGAGACCAGGTGCTGGAGTTTTTGGAGGGAACTGTTATCTCGTTCTGATTTGATGTAGGATTTTGTTCAATAGTCCTGGATCTTCTTAGCTGGATTTTATGATGACTAGGAGTTTATGTTCTAAAATGTGTATATAGTATTTTGTATTGATGCTGCCTTCCAGATGCGTAAGCTGCCCGTGCCATGGGCACTAATGCATCTCCACACAATCAGACAGGCAGGGTTTTAAACAGTGCTGACAACAAGCTGGATGGTCTCTTTAGTAACGAGGACATAGCATTTACATTATGGTTTTCAAAAATATTTTTTTATTTTTCATTAACCTAACCACAGAGCAGGGTTTCACTCATCTCAGTCGATTTTAAACGAGCTTTTGTCCAAAGAAGACAAGCATTTCTGAAAAGTGTTCACATAAAAGCTTCTTCGTGCGTTAGAGCTTCTGCACACAAAATAAAAAAGGTAATACCAAACACAAGAAAATTAGCAAAAGTAAAAACAAAGTAAAATCCAGTGAGTACAAATGTGTTTTATGATGGGACTTAAAGCACCAAGAGTTGAAACCTGTCTGATAAAAAGAGGCAGTATTATGTCTTTTGAGATTCAGAGTATCCAAAATGCTGACAGACTCAAAAGACTTTGAGATATTAAAAAAATAGTAATGATTTAACAACAAAAGAAACAAGCTGTCAGGGCAGCGACATACTTACAAGGAGAATGTTCAGAAAACACAAGCAAAAACATAGAGCATAATGCAGAACTGATGCGACAACAGAGGGACATAGAGAGCAGAGGTAAGTGGAAAGTGGAGACACCTGGGCTGATGGCTGGTTGGGGACTGACAACAGGTGTGAGTGGAGAGGGCGACATGAAGAACGACAAGGGGAACACAGCGAAACTAAACAGGAACTAACAAAAATAGCACAACAAACCCAGCAAGTACACACAGACTAAGATCTAAAGTCAAGGGGAGWACAGAACTAAAGTAATATAACACAAAGAACGATAAGATAATGTAAGAATCCAAAGATATCAAAAACAAGACAAAACACAAACAAATTAATAAACTCATATAAGACAACAGGGATATGAAAAGCAGCTGGTTCCACAKKTTAGGAGCTACGACTGAAAAGATCTGATCACCTCTGTGGASCAGCCATCAGARCCKTACAGGTCAACAATAAAACCTTAAAATCAATTTCTAAACAAACAGGCAGCCACTGAAGAGAAGCTAGCACTGAGGGGATGTGGTCATCCATCCATTATCTGTACCCACGTATTCCTTTCAAGGTCACRGGGGGTCACTGGTGCCCATATCCAGCAGTCACAGTGTGAGAGGCGGGGGTACACCCTGGACAGGTCGCAAGTCCATCACAGGGCCACACATAGAGACAAACGAGACAAACAAACTCTCTCACTCACACGTAGGGACAATTTAGAGTTATCAGTTAACCTGACAGTCATGTTTTTGGTCTGTGGGAVGAAGCCGGAGTGCCCTGAGAGAACCCACGCATGCACGGAGAGAACATGCAAACTCTACCCAGAAAGGTCCCCGGGCCGGGATTTGAAGCATCGACCTTCTTGCTGAGAGGCATCAGCTCTACCCACTGAGCCACCAGCCCCGGATGTGGTCATGCTTTTTTTTTTGTGTGTGTTTTGCTGCAGTGTTCTGAACTAACTGCAGACAYGACAGGCCGGCCTGACTAGCACCAGCAGAAAGCGAGTAACTGTGATCCAGTAATAAGAGTCATTAACCCTATTAGTTTTGGGCAGAATTACTGATTATCACTGTTGCCTCACAGTTAAAAAGTACTTAAATACAATCCCTGGTTTGGGCCTGGGGTATTTCTGTGTGGAGTTTGTATGTTCTCCTCGTGTTTGCGTGGGTTTTCTCTGGTTTCCTCCTACATTCCAAAACCATGCATATTTGGACTGCCTTCAGGATCCGACCTCCCTTGAAAAAGGAATCAACAATCTCTGTGGGATTAGCCTGGTTAAATAAAGGTTAATAAATAAAKAAGTTGCAAAAGGCTCCTCCAGCTATTTCTTATTACCACTTATACAGTAAAACCTTTTGTTCCCCCTGGTACAACTTTGCTTCAGACGTTTCGCCAATGTTAAACTCAAAATGAATGTATTTTTTTCACAAACTAGTCAATTTTCTTGATTTCARCATTCGACAATTTTATAGTTTCATGGCAAATAAAATATGGGATCTATTCCATTAATTTTTTTAAGATAGTGCAGATGTGTGTGTGTGCAGCTGATGATTAAAAGCAAGTTAAACATTATTGGAAAGATTAAGTTTTGTAGAYTAGAAATGTATAAGCTTTCACGGCTTCTTGTAAAATCACAACATTCACCCATGTATTTGTAACATAAATTAATGTTTACTCCCAGCTGAACTATACAGAACAGAAACAGAGAAAAAAGCAACATTCTGAGAAAAAAAACCTTGGTAATCATGCAATTTTGTGCAGTTTTTAGTGATGTGTAGTTATTGTGTTGCTTGGCAGAAATGACCATCTGGATGCATGCTGTCTGTCAGCTCTGATTAATGGAGTGTTTGTCACTGCAGTGAGGAAAATCTTGGGAGACTCAGAGGGAAAGAAGTTCAGCTTTTAGCTCGGTGTTCTGGAGACASTGTTAGAAACACCTCTTGATGCTGAGTGGAATGTAAACATTTAAAGAGTTTGAATTTATTTTACACCTAAAGGTTTCTGTCTGTGCCAGATAGGAATCATTTTCAAATAATGGAAGTGTTTTTAAGCYTTTTTTTCCCCTCGTCTCTTTCTGCAGGCAGAGATTCTCAGTGTACTGAGTCACAAGAACATCATTAAGTTTTATGGAGCCGTCCTGGAACCTCCCAACTATGCCATTGTTACAGGTCAGACCCCACACTGTGTGTCTGTAATTTATGAATCCTTTGAGATGCCCTCACATGAATATGAGCCCTAAATAGGTTGCTGTCACTGTGGATTAGTCTCTAAATTTACATTTATTTGTTGATTAACAAAAGATTAAGGTAATATTTTAAGGTGAAACATGAAGGGGTTGCAGGGTTAGAACACACTGTGCCTTCATAAAAGCTTTTTCATAAACATCTACTGTATATGTGTATTAGTTTTCTTAGCTAATATTTGATCCCTGATGTCAAGAGTCACAGATATGTTAGCACCTGCTCTGATAGCGAAGTGGTGTTTATGTGCGCGCGCGTGTGTGTGTGTGTGTGTGTGTGTGTGTGTGTGTGTGTGTGTGTG